TAGGGCAGGGCTGGAAGTCGCTGAAGACGGATCCTGCCCATTGCGAAACTTCGATGGAAACTCTGAAATATCTGAAGAGACTCCGATCAATCAGAAAGCGCTCAATGAACAGAGCAGTCGTGTTCCGAGGAACACCATGTTCAGACTTCCAGGTATGAATGGAACATTCAGAACGCTGGCTCGAGTCGTCCGTAGAAACCAACGACGCGAGGCCGACGGCTATCCAGAGCTCTGATCCGGAAGACGGCAACACTTTTTTGTAACAAGTCTCATGTCGCGCCGTCTAATGTCCATTCGCTCAAGATGCTCAGCACATTCTTAGCTTGTTTTGCTCCCGCGAAGTCGCAGGAATTGCGAATCGGTCTCGACGACGACGGATCAATAGGAACTCGTCTCTGACCTGAACTCGAGGGCTCGCCGCTCCGAGCGTTCTCTCCGGCTGGAGGATGGCGGACATTGTTTTCATTCATTGCGATATCACCTAGTAGTGCTCAGTATTCGGCAGACGCTGCGCATCGAGTGAACAAACGTCTTCGACATCGTCAACGAGCAATCTTTGACAACGTCCACGAGAAGACGCCGCATCGTGCCGTTGACGATGCCATCGCCGCCGCCACCGCTGACGTCGCGGCAATTAAGCTCTTAATCACTCGGAAAATGTCGACTCTCGAGGTATAGATCGGATGCCTGAATCCGGTGCGGCGGTCCAGCCAAGTCCGCTGCCTCAAATGTCGACAAATAGAGACGAGTGACAAGCCTTGGCGGGTAAGTGAGTGGGTAATTTGTCTTCTGTCTCATATTTCCCGAGTTCTTCTGGCCGGTGCAATCAATGCCAGCGAGTGGAGAAGCGCCAACACTGAGAATGAGCCGTTTCCTGTTAACATTCTCCGCGATTTTCCCGATCAGGGACTTTGGAGTAAGTAAAAAATCGGGAATTCTCCGTCCCTCGGATTTCCGGGATTGCAATACGGAAGGCTCATCGAGAACTTGTGGTGGTCCCACATGTGGGCGGCAAGAACCCCAGGAACTTCGTCATTTCCGTCCGCGCCGTCGAGCCGGAGCCGAGAATTGAGTCTGTGAAGGCTCAAGCTGGATTCTTTCGGCGCGCTCAATCAGCTTTCGAGACGAGGAAGCAACGATCGGGCAACAGAAATAAAGGAATATGATCGTAAGGATGAGTTCTTTAGTGTTTCAACACCAGCCGCGTGTCTATTGGCCGCCTGTACAAGTGACTTGGGTGCCTCCCTTAACAGCGGCAGCGGAGCAACAATAACGACAGCAACAACGAAAATAACAATACGCCAATCATTATGACCGGCGAACAATTTGTCGGACGCGAGCTGCGCGTTTCAAACACACACGCGATCATCAGTTCATTTTCGAACCATTTTCGAGAAATTCTCCTTCGATTTGAGCTGACGGAGCTAGCGATGTCGGGACGGGACTCGCGGCAGAAAGAATTCCCTGATCGTAAGCGGATTTGTCTCCGAGCACGGTCTTCCGTATCGCGCTGCTGCCGCCGAATCCCTGATTTGATTCGATTCCGAATGAACACGTGTGAATTATGTCGTTCCATGTTTTTTCTTGTAGTGTTTTACAAGCGACATCTGAGCTCGGCCAGTCTGTACACTCGGGCAGTTGAGCATCAGTACGTCCATCACAGCGGTCCAGGTGCTTGAGAATGAATTTCTTGTACCTAGGTATATGTCGCATAAAGCAGTCAGAGTTGCTTGAACGACAGACCTCGCGAGCGAGTTCCCGACCGATCGGAGTGAGAGGATCATCGGAACAGATTGAGCGAGCATGTCCGACGGATTTTGACTCCATAAATCGATCGAGCCGGCTTCGCCGAGCAATCGGCACACCACAGACTTTCCAAAACATCGGTCAATTCTTATATCCGCCGGTTCCGTGACAACTCTTGGAAGGACCGATACGGCGATGGTCACATAATGAAGCTCCTTCGTGTTAGATGACACTCGTCGACGAAATGAAAATGCTCCATCTAGAAGGAGCACGATAGAAACTTTGAAACATTGGAGCATTCCGCGAAAAAGGTGGATAGAATGGTTCGGAAACGAGACCAGCCGAGAACATGCGTGATACGATTGTTGGAAGCGAAGAAAATCGACTGTCGGTTCAGCTTTCAGTCGAACGAGGCGAGAAAGAAGATGTTCTGTACATGACTCACAGATTTTCTGCATGTGTTGCAAAATCCGATAGAGGGATGTCGTATCCTGTGCATGGGGAAATGACAGCCTCGAACATTTCGTGCGACGAGGATGACATGGCAAGTCGGAGTCCTCATTTTTTGTCCCCCGCCATTCCAATTTTAGACCCGTTTGCTCGATCACTCGCTCTACTCGTGACTCGCTCCCTCGCGCGGTGGTCTCCGAGACCTTTGGTCTCCCAGGTCGACAGATTTCAATATAACGTACCCCCTCCCCCTCACCCTCCCTCCACATTATTGTGCGGGGTTGAGGTTGAACCTACTGTTAGGGCGCTTTACAACATGCATACAAGCATCCATCCATCTATCTGTGCATCCAGTTCGACGGGAGCCGTTCGGATGGATGGAGTGAGTGAGCCACGAGCCCACGACCAGAATACATAGATGAACTCCGATAGAGAATGCTTTGTCCGAGGCTGCTCTCAATAGGGGGGAGCTGCAGCGATGTCAGAGGAAGTTGGCTTGTCTGTCTGGATCGGGGTTGAAGGGGGCGCGTCGATCCGACCAGAGGCGTGTTATTTGGATATATTTTTATATCTGTTGTGGATCTATCAGCAGAAGAGAGGAGAGAGAAAAATGGTATCCCGAATCTTCCGCGCGTCGGTTCATCAATCAGATAGATAGCGGGTCTAAATATTTTAGTCAAGAGTTCGATATCCGGTGGCGCGTACCGGTTGAGAGAACGACCTGCACACTTAATGCTTGACCTCCAATAACAGGCGGCACTAAAATAGTGAAAAGCCTCGAAGCCTTTGTTGTTGTTACCGCCGCAATGACTCCTCCCGCCTCCATGGACTTCGCCGTCGAAATCATCGCTCGGTCCAATCGGCTAGCTCTTGTGCGATATTTTCTGCGTCACCGCTCACAAAGCGGATCAGAGTTTCATGCAGCATTGGATGCAGGTCGTCGCCATCATTGGTACCACCACCGTCGTCGGCTGCCGCCAGAAAGTGAGCCTGGCTTCTCGTCACCGGGCCGAGTCGGCAGATGATTCATGATTATAAAAGCTCCTAATTGCCGTCCCGACGGGTCGACATTCAATCCAATCAAGTTCGCCAGAAGAGTAATTCTAATTCATCCGATTCGATATGCTCGATAGAGTGAGTGTCTTGATACGCCTTACGGACTTCCGGAGTTTAAACGTTATGCCTGGTGCTGGAGAACTCTCATACCCCGCTGGAATCTCTTAGGTTCCTTCGAAAGATGCGAGCACCGGCTCCACCCCTTTCCAATCCAACGGTCGTCATCGAGCGGAATCGAACTCAAGGTTATCTCGTCCGCGGCTTCTAAACACCGGAATTACTATATCACAAAGCTTGGCTGCAGTGCTGAGGGGAAGGTTTAATTGTCACTGAGTTTGTGGCTTCGCCATGATAATAATTAGGCTCCGGCATCTTCTTCTGTCAGAGCGGGGTGACGGCCGATCTCTGCAATTATCCCGTCGAACGCTAAAATAGTACTTGGAAGCACGGATCGCGGACGGTCGAGGAATGAGGCAGACCGGATGGAAGAAGAAGATGTCGGTCTGTTGGAACAACGTATCAAGTGCGACGCTCTTTCTGTAGCGATAACGATTTAGCTCCTTCGACACCCACTGGGTCCGATTTATCGAAAACGTCCCTATCTCGTGTCAGATGCGGCTCGTCGTGCTACAGCGACCTGACATTGGAGTAGAACACCATCGTGAAGAAAAATCCTTCTCTACTGTCGAAGACTTCTGCGACGCTGGCGCTGGCGGAATCTGATGACAGGAAATCGAGATGAAAGATCTGTTTATCGAGACGAAATTGCTATCCTGCGAGGAGTATTCTCATTCCGGCTAAGCGAATCAGGTCAGAACAACAGAACAACGAACGTCCGTACAATCGAGCAAATAGCCCTCTGGTACCATCTTCAGATCCCTCCCGTAGATATTCCTGGAATTATAAGATGCGCCGAAGGAGCGAAAGTGGTATTATCAAAAAATTCCGACACTCGCGCCTGCGAACCACCGAACGAAAATCAAAATAATATCGACTGCTCTGGAATTGTTCGGTTCCAAAGAGCCTGAAGAATCCTGCCCGGGGATTGTGAGGGAAAACGCAGGTAATCGAAAATGACGACAGCCTCGATGCTTGCTCTAGGGAAGAAATCCTCCCCAGACCACTGGTGCCGAATCATCTGAAAGTCACCTCGGTGGGGAAGCAAAGCTCTGTGATGGCCGATCAATCGGCCGCGAGCCTACGGCTCATTCGCTTTCCATAAATAAATAATGCTTAAAGAAGTTGATGGATCAATCCAGCAATCGGTCGGAGGAGGAAACGGACACTGTGAGTCTACCGTGTCCTCGCGAGGTCGCCATCCGGAATGCCAGGACTTGGCTGGAGGAAAGTATTTCTCCGCTTGTTGACTTGAATTCCCGAGTCCCGCACGGCTCACCTGGTCAGACTTCGAGAATATTCCAAGGGCTTAGACTTCGTTGTTGACATCATGCATAAGTCAATGCTCGAGAAGCCACAGTCACCCGCGTTATTGGTACCCAGTAGTTCTGACAGTGCGGTCGTTCGCTCATCTTCCCACCTTTCCGTCAGTCGGTCGGTCGTTCCGTCGAATTCACAGTCAGTTCGCTCATGCGTGTTTTATGTGCGCATTGAATTTGCATTAGTTTGACATGGTGGAGTCAGCCCGATTTTTTCCTCCGCGTCACCATCATTGATACCGCGCGAATTTGTCTGAGAACGGCGACGTTCTGATGATTCAAGCGAAAAAACTGCTTCGACTCGACGCCAACATGATCAACGTCGACCTCGTCGCCGACTCCTACTCCATCATCGGTGTCATGATCAACGTCGTAGTCTTGGTCATTTAACCAAATATGGCGTCCATGTCGGAGATTCCAATGAAGAATCTATTTCCACAAGAAGAACAACAGACCTCCTGGGCAAGAGAAAACGCGCCCGAAACGTTGAGAAAACACCGTCTGACCGCCCGACGACGGTCAGTCCGCTGCAGTCGGACACTTGTCACGAGTAAACGAGTAAGGACAAGTGAGTAAGGACTCGGTTAGAACGAGAGAAGACGAGTCAGATTCGCCGATGCGACAAGATGCTGCGCGACATTCTCCGAGCAATATTTCCTCATTGAGACCAAGGTCAAGGTTTTTTTCTCGCCTCCGACTCTGCCAGCCGGTGCATGATCGTCTCCGGGCATCTACTCGTCTGTCTTCCGCTCATTACTCAATCTCCCGGTGCTTGTCGGCAACAATGATGAATAAATCGGCAAAGCACGCGAGGAATGGTCCCTGCGATGTATTGCGGGAATCTTGGCGAGTCTGCCGGGATCCCTCCTCTCAGTGTCGCTTGTCGACCGCCTGTACCAGACGCGGCCGGTTAGAGAGTCTCGTTTTCTTATTGACAATTATTATGAGAGTCACCTATTCACGTAGTCTGCCTCCCCGAGAACGAAACTTCACCCGTTCAGTGCAATGAGGACGGCCGTCCGCTGTCTGAGACCACCCCGTGGCCCCGAGGAGTGGACAGTGAGGTCTCGGACTTCATTCGCTCTCGACGACCGAGTCGATCCAAAAGTGCGCGAATGGGTCGGGTCGGGCAAGGAATGTTCGGGTCCGGGGGAACAGATCCGCCGTGCACTTGAGGATTTAGCGGACGTTTCGTTTTCCGACATCTCCCAAAGAGGAGGCATTTTAGCCGCAGACCTTTTCTTGAGCGACAGGAACAAGTTCAACGACCGATTCGATTTTGTTTTCGTATGTATGTGATTGTTGAGGCATTGTTAGCTTTCTCTTGCTCGTCAGCTCCTCTGTCGGTCGGTCGGGACTCGGCCGATTTCCTCACAAGTTTGACGTGGCTCCAGCGGTATGCGATTCAAGAACAACAGCAGAGACATGACGAGTTGTACAAACGCACGAATTTCCGCTGTAGAAGGCCTCTGATCTAAATCAGACGAAGAATTTTCGAACTGTCTGTCGATTCATCTCTCGGCTCGTTGAAAAACATTCCCATCCGCTCCGATTCGATCACGCTGGTCGTGCCGCCCTCGTAGCCGGTCCCGAACCCGGCAGAGCTGTCGAGCGACATCGGAGCCATTGAAATTCAAAACCATCTCTGTCACGTCTCTGCTCGCACTATGTATTTTGCTTACGGCCATGCTCGCTTGGAGCAGCTGCTCGACGAAATAATTTCTATTCTCGTATGTAAGTAGGCGATATTCTTACTCATGAGCTCAGAGGTGTTGTTTGTTAGTACAGATAACGTGCTTCAGTTCAGGGTCATAAATGAGTCAGAGTCTCCGGTCCGCTGCCAGCATTGCTTGGCTCCTGGTTACCAGGGCAACGGCACAAGGCCGCCGTTACACTTACTATCCTGGGATGAGCACCTCGTGTGTCCTGTGGAGGAAGTCATGGAATACGTGATGGAGGCCTTCAATACCATTCGGAGAGTCGGCCGACTGAACTCTTTGAGGACGCGACTGATCACTTTCCAAATAGTTTCTTATCGGTTGTACTCAGGGACCCGAAATAATTTCTCGATATGTCGGGGTAACTCCACTTCCGATCATTCATCATGTCGAAAGTGAAGAATTTGATTCGACTGCGCGCTGCGATCGACGATGCCAAGAGTTGGTTCAACCATGATGGGGGATTCGGCGGCAGAGTCCATCGAAGAGCTTCGCCTCGAAGAGGGAAGATGCTGGACGAAACCGAAAATAACTCCCCAATATCCTCTAAGCCGCGAGGCACGGGCTGAGTCCGAAGTGGATTTCGCATGTTTATCAATTCTGACAGCTCGCTCCCCGCGTATGGGGTCGGCTCGGTGCTGAAAATGTCAAGTGAGCGAGATCGCCGCTTCCCGGGTAGGTATCCTCGAGGAGGCCAAGATCGACGCAAGGGAGAAAGAGCTAAGCTGGTGTTAGAATGCTACGAACGTGTTCGACGAGATAAATATTTACGGATACTCTCTTCGGAGACCTTGCTTCCACCCGGGTCTGCCCATCGACGATTTCGTTTCGGTTCGTTCGTTTCCGGTCCCAGTGATTCGAGGAGCCCACTCAGTGAAAGCGTAGCCTTCCGGACGTTGGCACGCCCAGAATTATTGTCGTCAGAGAAGATCAATGAGAATGAGGCTTGGATCTCAAACCTCGGGCGGACTTCGCCTTCCCGAAACACGATATGTCTAACATCCTTTCTTCGTCTTCCAGATGAAATCCATAGCGCTAATAGTCCTGTTGGGACTAGTCGGCTTGGCACGAGGCGATCTCATTCAACTTCTAGGAAAGGAGGCCGAACTTAGCATTGTGAGTATAAGCCATCGATCTGAGATTTATCAATTCGAGGATTTATAGCCAACAGGATGGCTCCAATCATCGAGTCCGGGCAGGGGGAAAGATTTTTTCCGGTCAAATAAATTTGATAGCTCGTGGCTCTCTTTTGGACCAAAGCCTCAATTTGTCTAAGTGCGGAGAACGACTCGGAATTCCCGAACCCGGATGGAGTTCGGCGAATGGAGTCTGGTGCTGTAACATTCGCCTTCTGCCGGCTACCCTGGGGTGAAACCAATCTCGGTCGTGTCAAATAGTTTTTGCCTCCGCGCAAAATCAAGAGGGGAACTGAATGATTGTTCGATTTCACTCGTCTCCGAGAGGCTGTTCTGCGCGTGAGGCGCCGCTCTCATCTTTCTTCTAATGGTTATTTTATTATTATTGAGTGCCTTCGGTGAGCAGCGAAATGGGAGAGGCAAAGTCTGCGCGGTAGGATCCAATGATAAGAATATGCTCGACACTGGCTATATGTGCTGACAGGGGGAAATATCGAGAAGAAAATCATGCAGTGGAGCACTTGGACCGTTCGGCCTGGACTGCGCCCATCCCTCCGGTTTCCGCCTGGTAGAGTGGATCTCTTCTTATCGGCAACATCGGGCGGCAGCCTGCTCCTCGGGGTTCGAGATAGAGCTCCGGGAAGTGAGTCGGATCGTCGTTTGAAAAACCTCGGCGGCGAAGTCGGTCTCCCCATTCGACAATTTCGGCGAGAAATATATGTGATATTGAGCTGTATGTGGGAGAGCCCGTCCATGTGGACTCAGAGTGGATTGTGGTCTTTGTCTTCATGTCTGAGGCCCAGTGTCGGTGGTGGTGGTCATCGTCGTCGTCGTCGGACGCTGCCACGGGACGACTGCGCCCACAGGAAACGAAGCAATTTGCGTGCTTCCTGTCGGAGAACGGGGAAAGGACAGGGCGGACAGGGGTTCTTGGGTCCGCGTCCAATGGATATAGCCAGGGGGATAAATGCGGGAGAGGCTGGGCAGTTTGTTCTGAACGACAAATTCAACGGAACGTCGAGAAACGATGATGTCACCGTCAAGTACAGGCGTTGGGGAGCTCGATGTGGTGGAGATCGCTTTCCGTTCTACGAGTAATCCGATTAGCTCCACACTGACATTCGCTCCGTGAACACCCGCAATGCTTTCACGCTACGCTTGTTTCGCAGATTTTGAGTGCGGCTCACAGGCCCATCCACTTTTGTGGAATCGGGAGATCGATGTTTGTGGTCCAAAACGGTTCGCCGCACTGAGATAGCCGTAACCTGTGGAGCTCTTCTCTCTCAAGGTCGTTCTCCCCTCTCGATGCCCTCTGCGATTATTCGGCATGGTTGTGACTTCGCTCTCGCGTATCGAAGAGGAAAACCTTGAGTGATTGAGCGACCATGGATCAATGCGGTCTCGAAGTGAATAATTTTGAACTTCATGGGTTTTCTATGAACTGTGGAGTTTCGCTTTGAACAGTCATCACACCGACTGAGGTTCGTCAGAGTATTCCGACACCGCAGCGGGAGTGGAAGAATTGACAATTATGTACAGAAGCGCCGAGTTTTGGCGGAAACAGTCGTCGCGGGATCTGAGTGAGTGTGTGTATGCTAGTGAGCCGGTGATGGTGGCTGCGAGTCAGTGTATCCGAGAGCGACTCCGGGGGTGAGACGAAGCGGGCTCACTCTCATGGATCAGTTTAATAATTCATGTTGTAAGGAGGAACAGCAGGATCCATTGATCATCCTCACACCACGCATGCGCGGGAGAGGTGGATCAAACAGAGGGGAATGCCTAAAAATGGCTCAGGTCCACCTTGAGCCTCACATCCACGAAGCTCGTCGTCATCAAGCTTCTCATCTTCAGTAGCATCTGCTTTGTCATGGCTAAACCACATACGAAGCGATTGGGCTGTGAAACGTCATCTGTTTGCCGGGCATGTAGCAGACGCCGCTTTCGGGGTTGCTTCATTGCAACCGCTCATCGGACTTTGCTGGGAGAGAGCGCGCCGAATTATGTACCTCCGATTAGGCAGATACTTCCAGGAGAAGAGAGAATTGTTCAAACAGGGGACGCCGCGGCGAATCCAGCTCGAATCACCGGGGGAACCTCAGAATTTCCGTCGCTGTACGCCGTGGACAACTTGATCGATGCCGGAAACTGTGCTTCTGTACAGCCGGGTACATAGATTCAAATTCACCGAATAGGCTGAATGCTTCAGAGTGGCTGCCGAGCAGGTCAACTGGCAGCGGTGCCGGTTTCCCATGCTCATGACGCTCCCTTGACTGCGCTGCCCGGGCGATACCTCCCACGAATCTAGGCGAACGTCCACCGGGTTCTGAACACGAATTATTGTGGCCGCAAGGCCATTCGTCAATCACCATGGAATCACACAACGTTTACCATAGCCTTCCCGCCACGCACTTGGTGAGCCCCGAAACAAAAGAATTCAACAACTCGGCGAGCTCTGGAAGACGAAGCGGATCTTTCTCGGATTAGCTGCGTGCCGAGTTCAAGTCTGAGTAAGCGGGTACAAGAGTCTGCCTCCGGCACATGAGTCCCCGGTCGCGCTGCACTCAAAAGTTGAATATTGTATCACCTTCAGCCGATTTGGACATTGGATCCTAAACCGATTCCATTCGGCATTGAACTTGATTCCCGAGTCGAGCGGGACGATGAGGCATCCGAGCCGTAGAGGGAGAGATGGAGGGAAACAAATGGATCAGCTACGCTACGACGTGGATTGGCGGAGGTGATTTTGTTTTTCAAAAGCTACGCTCGGCGAAGGGACCTGTGAGTCAGCCGATCTGCTCGCTGTCGGCGTGTACCGTCGTCACTCGTTCTTGACTCTCATTTCCATTCGTTCAATCAATCAGTGAGTACTCTCAATTGCTCCGCTCGTTGTTCCGAGAACGGGGCATAGATTGTTCGTTCTTTTCAAGCGAAGCGTGGATGCCTACGCGATTCCTCAGCTCGGGACGCCGCCGCTCTCCGACATGACTGACTGCCTGACTGAAGGAAAGAACCGAGTCCGTTCTCGGCGCACTCGGAACGCCAGTCACCGACGTGAGCGGGAGACGTTACGTTGGAGCAGCCCGCGCGATCCGCTCGTCTGGAGAGCGACGCTTTCTGTCGACGTCCCTTGGCCAGCTCTTGTTTTATATCTCGAAGCATTCCTTCATTCCGTCAAATTACGGCACCCAGAAGCGGATTTGGGCAGCTGTTAGAGCACGCAATTTCGTATTTGCCCGTTTTTGTCTGAGCATCGAGAAGAGCGACGGAAAACGAGCTGACGCGCGTTGCACAGCTGATAGATAGCGACAGAAGCGCTTGAGTTTACTGGGAGGTTATGATGATCAACAGGGCATCTTTACTCCGGTCAGCCAAGGAATTCTTTCGCGCACCGGACGGGATTCGGGCCAGGGATAGCGATCTAAGCTGATTGCCCGTTTGTCTGGGGCCGTTATATCGAGCGTTAGACGTTCTCTACTCTGGTTCATCCGAAAGAGACGATGACGGCTGATGTGGAAGCAAATCGCACAGCTCTCAAGAGCAGAAAGCTGGCAGTAAACGGAGTCATTAGGAATGAATAATTCAATGAATCTTCGGGGAAGCTCGAGACTATTGATTCTTAGAAGACCGTCTGGAGAAAAAGCGTTGGCGCTGGATGCAGATAAAGCCGTACCGTGGTCGCGACTCTTTAATCGGCTGCAATCGAACCGGTTCCCATCGCTAGATGCCATGTGTCCTTCCAGTGCGCCGGTCTTTGAGCCCATATCTTCGGCCGGTTGCATCGTCCGGATAGATTACGAGCTCGCGGATCCGACGGAATGTCCGACTCGCCGCTGCCTTCCCTCCTCCTATTTGCTGAGTTCGGTCCCGGTTTTGTGAGGATCGACTCCCAAGGGCACGGAACCGAGTGAGATCCCCAGCTGCCTTCAGAATATCGAGCGAGACCCGAGCTCTCCTCATTCTAGAGCCATTTTCATACACCGTCGACGTTGAACCGGGACGCGGGAACGGGACGGAGGGAACGAGTTCGAGTATCCATGAGAAAACGTCTTCGTTCGAACACGGTTGCGGACGCTCGAGTCGAAAGGTGTTATCTCGATTTCAGACAAATCGCGTCAGATTGAGTTATGCGTCGCTGTCGACATCGTTCATTCGGTCTGTCGGTTTGTCGATCGGCCGACGCATCGGTCGATCGCTCATTCGTCAGTCAGTCAGTCAGTCAGTCAGTCAGTCAGTCACTCACTCGTTCACGCAGACCCGTCGTCGTCTTCTGACCACCGCACGTCAATCAGATTTTTGCGCCGAATCCGAAGCAGAGGTCCGGCTTCGAAGTTCTTTTTTGAGAACGTTGTCACTCGTCCAGGCGGCTGCTTCTTCTTATTCATTTCTCCTTCCGCAGTTTTCAATTTTCAATACTTTTCGCTCTTCGGCTTTTTTTCACCGAAAAATGCTTTCCCCCCTCATGTCGCTGGTGGCGGCTCTCGGTGGTAATCTTCCGCCGGTCGGGATCATTTCTTTGCCTAGCTGACCTGAAACCAAGATCCCTACTAAGGCGAGTGGTGAAGTGAGCGTTCGGACGACCGACCAACGCGACGTCGTCGGCTGACGAGCGGATGGACGAGCTGAGGCTAACCTGTAGCAACACCGGTCGAAGCGCTGAAGAAGTTGCCGATTTGAATCTTTTTCTCTGCCTTCACCCTCAATAGGAACCGAAATTGAAACCGACCACGAAACCAGCGAACAATCGCCGCCATCGAGAAAAAGAGTTGCTTACCGTTGACCTCTGTACTGGCGGCGGTGCGCACGAGCTGCCGTAAACACTTGAGCTACGAAACAAACCTCGCCGAACGGTTTCCGATGCTCGTGTTGCTTCTGCTGCTTATCCTCAGCTTCATACGGATATCCCTTCCGTATGGACGCGAGCGTTCGGCTCGGGCGGAATGCTCCGGCTCCCCCGTTCCCAGCCGTATTCCCTAAGATCCG